AAGCTACATGAAGGCAGCTCGAAGCACGTTGGGCACCAAGCCCTGTAGCGAGTCTGCTACTTCAGAGAGCATCTTGAAACCTGCTCTAAAGCAAGCATCAAAGTGCAGCACTTGCTCAAGTCAAGGGTTCTGGGATTTGAAACGATTCAGTGAGTTACTTGGGCAGGAAGTTGATAAGAAGACAAAAGAGGTGCGTCCAACGCCTCTCCTCAGCGTGATGAAATGACCCGAGTGAAAATTGTCTTCCCGTAACCCAGATCGCTGAGACATACGACTTTTGCTCCTGAGCGGATTACAAGGCCACAATATGAGAAGACGCGAGGAAACAGCGCGTCACGGCTCTTCCGGAAGGATGATCGTTGTGTAAAGGGCAAGTAATTATGCTGCAAATAGAGATGTATCATAAGTATAAGCTCTTGGGATGAGGGTCCAGATTGGCATATCTTGGAAAGGACCCTCGATTTACCCATGATGTCGCAGGAACGTTCTGCGCCGCCGCCGCCTCCAGCCGAGACTGTCAGCACTACAACGAAAGCGACCACCAAGCCGCCATCTCAGGTGCCTGCTCCTCGGGCACAGAGCCCTAGGTATTCTACGAGGGAGGCGCGGGAGACAGCTGATGGGCTGGAGAGGGCTGCGAGGGCCGCAAGGGAGGAGAAGGAGCGCGAGGAGCTGATGCGGCGCCGGGAGCAGGAAAGGCTGCGGGAAATAGCGCTGCGGCAGGAGCAGGCGCGTTTGAAAGCGCTGAAGCGCGAGGAGGAGCGAAAGCGCGAGGAAGAGGCCCGAGCACAGCAAAAGCTGCGGAATATGGGCGTTTGCGTTGCAGGGTTCCAGTGGATCAAAAGTGGGGGAGGCTATCGCTGCGCGGGAGGCTCGCACTATGTCAGCAACGCCCAGCTAGGGATCTGATAGCCATTCCGCCGTGACGCTAACGAAGGAAACAGAAGATATACCGAAGAGATGTGAAGTCCTACTATGGTCAGCTCATAGCCAGCTTCGTTGCTGCAGCTTTCTAAGGACCGCACCACTGTACTATTAGACAGCATTCCATGTAGTATCACAAGATTTACAACAGCCGTGAACAGGCCTTACCGTAGACTTGGTTGAGAGATGCATGCGGAATCTCGGGTATCAAGGCAAGCGAGGAACCTGGAGAGAGGGGTAGGTCAGTCACGATCAAGAGTGCTCCGAGCCGACCACGACCAGCACTCCAAAAACCCACCCTCGTAAGATCACAAGGTCTCCTGTTCCCCCGCAACGAAAAAGTACAGCGATTATACGAGACTCGCATCAACAATCACCCAATGCAGCTGGCCCTCCTGTCGCGCGCAAGCTCTCCCCGAACTCCCGAATCTCCCCGTCTTCTGCGCCTGCACCTCGAGGAGGATGGCGTTGGAGGTGTCATCCGGAAAGTAGTCCAGGGTGCGTGTTCTCATGCTCTACGATTGATGTTTTACAGAAGCTGTGTTCGCAGCACTCGCCGGACTTGACAAAGTATACTAGTATACACCTACTGAGGAATGCAAGTATTGCTCAAAGCGCATCGTGCCATTGTCGGTGTGTATATCGCTCATCCACTAGCTAGTTACTGTCACTGAGAGCAGCCTCCAGATGGTCTGTCGAAGCTTCCGCCATTACGCCTTAAGCCTGAAGTGGAGGAGAGTTAGGAGAAGGGCAAGAAGGCGCAAGAGCTGGAGCTAAAGGCATTGCCTGGAGCGAAGTCACCGGACAGCAAATCTGCGGAGACAGCTCCAGCCGACGTGCACACAAGCAAACACACGATCACAACCGTTACGCGGTGACGGACGCAAATGTGCTCGTCACCTCGCCCAACGGCACGCGCACAAATAACGTGCCATCTACCCTTCAGTCCCTCCCGCTCCGACGTTTACTGCCATGTGATCCGAATTACTTCTCTCCGCGCACGTCTCTCTGGTCCGTGCAAACCCGCCGCGGTGATCCTCCCATATCGTTCATGTGCAGCCGTCCCAGTGCGCGGCAGTCTTGCTGGGAGAAGTCGCTTTCTGCGCCGTCGGCATACTTGTTGCACTGCAGTACGTCGAGCCTGTCGCGGAGAAAGGGACCACACTCACGCTCGACCAGGAGAAACCTGTGATGCAAGAAACGGAGAAGGTTGACTACGTTACCGATGCGGACTAGGGGGAAGGAAGATAAAGTCGTGCCATTGTCTAGTTCGCCCTGGAATGCTGGTTTGAGTGCCCTGCTTCGCAATGACATGGGAGGGGGCGATCTCCTCGGGAGCGGTAGCAGTTTCTTCTCGCGCGAGGGGTCTTCGGGCGCAGCGGCAGCAGGAAGGAGGAAGAGCTCGCAGACGAGCCTAGTAGGCTTGGCAGCGTCTATCCATGCTTCCGCTCGATCAGCCGACCTGGTAGTATACACATGGCGTACGCCGTTAGAGCGGTGAAGAGGACGATGGGGTTGAGGAGGGTGAGGACGATGACGACGAAGAGGGTAGCGAGGAGAGCGTGGACAAACGTGGAGCGCGCGAAGCATCAGGAGCTTCGAGAGTATGATAAGCAGCCGACGGAGGAAGGCGAGCAGGAGCATCACAAACTTCAGAGGTGGGTCATCCGCAGTGCGCAAGAGTCTGAGCAATCACCTGGCAATCGTGAGCGGTGGCATCGAAACTGTCGGCAGCCTCGCCACGAGCTTCAAGGTAAGTGAGGTGGCCATTCCTCTTTCATCTGAAGTTGACGTCGACCAGGGGTCTCCGCCTCCTTCGCGGCGCTCGTCGCTGCTCCCGAAGGTCGCACAACCGCCATCGCCACGCCCTGAATTGCTCATATCCGCCTCACTGCGAGCGGGCTCGCGATCGTCTCGTCGGCCCCGTTGCCGGGCCCTGCCTCACCCTCAGCACTGCGACTCGCACCGCCGCGAGCAAGATTTCTGGCCTGCGAACCAGACAATCTACGTTTGACCGACATGGCGGAGTTGTTGCGGGATTACAGGCGAATAGCATCAGTAAAAAGGGAAGGGTCTGAAAAGGCTGAGCATCAGCCTTTTTAGACGCGTCAGACTCTGCTTGACCAATCACAGGGCGCGAAATTCTTTCAGCGCGTCAGACCTTTAGAACCTTGATTTGGGTCGTTCAGACCCTGTATTGATACAACCCTAGCAAGACATTTTGTGCATTTTGTGTATGGGATATGATACATTATTGAATACAGAAGTAGATTACAACCAGTGGACCCAACAGTTCACCCCTGCCCAATTGCTATACCTGGATCAAAAATATATTTAGACATTTAGACCTTCAGACCTTCCCCTTTTTCCTGATGTTGTTAGCCCATTCACCCTGCTCCTTTACCTCCTTGTCCAATTTTACGTATATATCCTCCCCCTTCTGGTCTTTCATGCGCCATGCAAATCGTCCACTCAGTTTCTTTGGCTGGCCACACAGCGTGGACCAGTCCTTAATGAAAGCAGGCCGCACCTCCTGGAACTTCTCTACTAGCCATTTGGACCAGACGTCCCGGATGAGGATCAGAAAGAGTGCTAAGCGGAAGGCATCTGCGCGGTCTGTGATATCCCACCCTGGACAATTCGTGTCGGCCATGTGTATATCAAGGGCTGAATGGGCAGATGTCTAGCAATATGACAGTCATCAGCTACACAACATATACTTCTGAGATATATCTAGTGTACACACCTTTTCTCCCCAGGCTGTAAGTAGACTTCCGTTGAAGCCAACTGCAGCGAGAGCAAACACCGGGAAATCCAGTATGCCGATTGCATTGAGATTGCTGACCCCGCTGGTGAGATTGAATCTGGATTGGTTGAGGACCTGCCCCTCAGAGCCCCCTTCTTTCTTGTATTCAATAAAAAGAAGTGCAAAGATGATGGCTGGCAAATATTGTCAGCATCGCTCTGAGCACTAACAAACAACCCACGTATAGACTCTTCCAGGCTAGATAACTGGGCCTCGGCTGCCTGAGGAGCTTCCTTGCGGTCCCTCGGCTTCCCCTTCCGAGTAGACTGACTCTTCTTGCCTTGAGGTGCTTGCTTGGACGTAGTAACCGGTTCAGTGAGGTTTGCAGACACGCTTGTGCTGGGAAGGACAATTTCATTCGCTGATAAGCCCCAGCAATCTTCTGACCCCCGAAATTGCGAATTTGACACACCATACATCCCCTCCAAAGTTTATTCGACACCACCTGTCGAACCTCTTACGCGACAAGTAACCGACGAAGGGTTCTGGATTTAATTCCGGACCTTCTAACGTCCTCAAGGCAGGCGCAGATCACCGAAATGATTTAGCTCCGCTGCCAGACGCTCCGAAGTCACCCGGAAGAATATCTTTGTGACTAATTATCTCCGGGAACGGCGGAGGCCCGCGTCGCAGTGAGTCATTGGTATTACCACTCCCCAGTCATCACTCCCCTTCGTTTCCGTCAAAGCGACCGAGTCAGCGGACGTAAATCGACGGCCGGACGGAATGTATCAGTCAGCAAGCGGCCGGAGCTAATCCGCACGTGATCAGCCTGCAGTAACGCGTGATGAGGCACTTGAAGCGAGCATTGACGCGTCGAGGCTACCTCTAGGACCTAGGACGAGCATGTGGAAACACGGCAGGATCGTATGGGACATGGTATAGTGGTGGGCAAAGGCTGAGTAATTGTGTGGGATGCGGAGCATATTTGTTATTTAACTCCGGGCGGACGCAAAACCATTCCAATAGCATAAAAATGTATAGAGCGTAGTGGAAAATCCAAGTTTTGTACTTCACTCCCTCAGCGTACCAGAATTATCGTCTCAGCGACCCTCGGAGTCCCTTCGCGTCGGACTTAGCGTCTACAATCAATCCTAGCCTTGCCAATAGGCCGGACTCGTCGAAACTAGATAACTCCGCCATCGCATATCGATCCAAGTAAGCTCCGGATTTAAAGTATAAAATTCACCAAGCGTCTGTAGGCACGAGACTATTGTTCGGGTTCAGTGGAACTCCCCACCCGGGTTACTGTCGAACTTCGGAGATAAATACTCCGGAGAATCGCTATACTGTTTGTTTCAGGCCTCAAGATTTTGTTTGTTTTAGGTTTTCCTACGGGCTACCCTACGGCGTCTAACTTCTCCCCCTCCCTTCGAACTTAAATATTACCCTTCAATCGCCTTAGACCGCCTACACCCATACCGCTGGGTGTTTTAGGTTTTATTTCTTTTGGTCTTTGGTGTTGTCGTGTGTTAGTGCCTATCATTTTGGAGCCCACCGCGAGGGGGGTACCATCTCAAGACGTCCAGTCCTTTGGAAGAGTTATTCCGACTCTTCCAGGAAGCCAATAGTCGATTAGACGAAGGCGACCCAATTATCCGCAGTCCTTG